ATCCCTCATCGGAAAATTGCTATGCATCAAAACTAATGTTTTCTAGTAAATATCTTCTCTTGTCAAAGGATCAAAAAGGTGAATGTTTATTCCTGGAATCCAATTACTCAACTTTCATTATCAAAATAGAATTTTCAAAATTACAGCTACAGTGGGCATAACTCCTTAAATTGGCTTCAAAGTTCAATTTACTAGGTAAAACATTTCCATATTCCTTCAGAGTCACATGTAGCTAGTGTAGTTATTTTTACAACAAAAACATCTGGCATAGAGCTTTTGTCAAGGGAACAGGAAGTGTGAAGAATGGCTAAAATACCCTGCTTATCCCTTAACAGTGGGAGGGAATGAGAACAGGAAAAGGAGTTATTAGCCCTCCAAGCCTGCTCCTCCAATTCACAAAATCAAGAGACTTAGCATTAACAATCATTAGCAACTTGCATGCCTCTGCTCGCTTGACCCAGGTCAACAGTCTCCTCCCAGGCCTCAAACAACTTTGAAAGACACAGATACATCTACATTTGGTATGTTACAGATTTAACCTATGGTGAAAGCTAAAAATGAGGTAGGCTCCAGTCTGAACTTCCATTTAACCCATTTCTGTCAAAGTCGCACAATGGGATTTACACCTCAGCTAATGAAGGGTGAGGAAAGTCAATTACAGTACCTCCTGAATCTTAGTAGTCAAACACAATTGCCACTCCAACACACTGGATAGTTGTGAAGCCTCCACGCCTGCTGTTAGTTATTGAACTGTCCACCACCATTCATAACTGGATGTGGCAGGAACATAGAGCTTAGATTTGATCTATTTGAGGTGGGATTGCTTAGCCTGTCTACTCCATGCTGCTTCAACAATTTGGTATGCAAGTAGTCCCGTTTTGTAGTTTCAACAAGCTGACACCTCATTTTCAGGTAAGCTCAATTCTGCCCCTGGCAAACCTGCATTGTGCTAAAATATCAATGATAATGGTAGAGTAGGGCATTTGCTGGGCCATTAGGTTACAAATTGCAGTTGTGTAAATTCTGCTGCTGCTAATGGCCTACAGTGCCATGTGCATGCACAGTTTTGAGATGTCAAATCTGTATGAAGGCTGTATTTAACATGGCAGTAATAATGCATGACATAATGGAGGTTAACCTCAATGTGAAGACAAGATTTAGTCTTGACAATGATTGTGTGATGGTCACTCCATCTGATACTGTCACGAATGGATGCACCTATATGCAGATCAGACAAGATGAGGTCTAGTAAATTTTGTCCTTCTTGGTTTTCTCACCATGTGCAACAAATCCAGTCTAGCAGCTATGTTCTTTAGGAATCAGTCAGCTCATCCAGTAGTGGTGCAAACAAGCCACTTGTTGCAATGGACACTGAAGTCCCCCACCTGCTGAACATTTCTATGCCCTTGCCACCATCAGTGTTTTCTTGAAGTGGCATTGAACATACAGGTGTATTGATTTATTAGCCAAGCAGGGACAGAAGATGGTAATTATGAGGCTTCACAAGGTCGGGAGTTAATGTCCAGCACTGCAAGGGACACTCCTTTCCAACTGTATACACTTGCGCTGGTGGGCCTGGACGTAACTAGGGATGGTGACTGGGAGACTGTTATTTTCACAGACTCACACGTAACAGCCAATGTTAGACTAATCTGTGTGACAACTCTCCCAATTTTGGTGCAATACCCAGAATATACAGGGTTGTCAGGGCTGTGGCTGCTGCTGAAATTTCCAGTGCCTAGATCAGTGTCAAGTTGTCTGTCCTATTTTGTTAGTTTCATTAGACTCTGCAGCAGTTTGATACCATTGAGAGGTATCTGTCAGTTGTCATATACTCACATCACCATAAACCTTTTGACTTTAGCTCAGCACCAGCCCTTAGTGAATCAAGGAAATGCCTCGGTGTAGTTCAGAATTTCCCAGAGGACAAGATCACAGATTTAATTCTTAGCCCGTGTTGTGTGAGCTATTTGCATCCTAAACAAATGACAGTTGAAGCACTAGACATGGTCTCAGTGCCTCAGTGGTTGTTTGTTGATTACTGAGACAAGGAGGGACTGGGTTTCATTCTATAACCAAAACAGCATAAACAAACATTCATCACAACTGACAAAACATCCATATTGTAATACTGTTAATACTTTTGAGACTTCTAATTATTAGTACAGAAATAGGAAATGAAGTGCTGAAACTAGTCAATCCCACAATCTCATATAGTGATTGTATATCTGTGTGAACCTCAAAATCTCAACACAAAATAGGGATTCTATGATTCTAATCTATGAAAAAGAGGGGTGAAGAAGAGAGGCATCTTTCTTCTACCTAATTTAAAATTGAATTGCAGTGCAAGGTTCCTGATAGTTTATCTGGGTTAGCAGTCAGTCAAATCCAATTAAAAAGGATGATGGAAACCTTAAATATATGTTGAAAGCAAACTTAATGAAAAACTGTGTATTTGCTTCAATCAAGCTGCAGTAATGGCACGATGGTTCTTAATCTGTGTGTACCAAAGGCATGAACTGCATGCCATCTGGGGTTGGCACTGAAGATAATCGAAACCTGCATATTTTATAATGGAATCAAATGATATAAGTGGAAGAATCTAGACTAAATACTTAGTTTTCTCCCCCTTGGTCCAGGAACTCCCTACCTACGTCCATGACACCACCCACGCCCTCCACCTCCTCCAGAACTTCCAATTCCCCGGACCCCAACAACTTATCTTTACCATGGACGTCCAGTCCCTCTACACCTGCATTCCCCATACAGATGGCCTAAAGGCCCTCCACTTCTTCCTGTCCCGCAGGCCCGACCAGTCCCCCTCCACTGACACCCTCATCCGCTTAGACGAACTCATCCTCACACTCAACAACTTCTCTTTCAACTCCTCCCACTTCCTACAGACAAAGAGGGTGGCCATGGGTACCCGCATGGGCCCAAGCTATGCCTGCCTCTTTGTAGGTTACGTGGAACAATCCCTCTTCTGTACCTACACTGGCCCTAAACCCCACCTCTTCCTCCGTTACATCGATGACTGTATTGGCGCCGCCTCGTGCTCCCACGAGGAGCTCGAACAGTTCATCCACTTCACCAACACCTTCCACCCCAACCTTAAGTTCACCTGGACCATCTCGGATACCCCTCTCACCTTCCTGGACCTCTCTGTCTCCATCTCGGGCAACCACCTAGAAACCGACATCCGTTTCAAGCCCACCAACTCCCACAGCTACCGAGAATACACCTCCTCCCACCCACCTGCCTGCAAAAATGCCATCCCCTATTCCCAATTCCTTCGCCACCTCCACCGCATCTGCTTCCAGGATGAGGCATTCCACTCCCGTACATCTCAGTTGTCCTCGTTTTTCAAGGATCGCAACGTCCACCCCATCAGTGGTCGAGAACGCCCTCCGCCGTGTGTCCCGCATTTCACGCAACTCATCCCTCACACCTCATCCCCGCAATAAGAACCAAAAAAGAATCCCCCTCGTCCTCACGTACCACCCCACCAACCTCCGGATCCAACGCATCATCCTCCGACACTTCCGCCATCTGCACCACCAAAGACATCTTTCCCTCCCCACCCTTATCTGCTTTCCGGAGGGACCACTCTCTCCGTGACTCCCTTGTCCGCTCCACACTCCCCTCCAGCCCCACCACACACGGCACTTTTCCCTGCAACTGCAGGAAGTGCTACACCTGCCCCCATACTCCCATCCCAGGCCCCAAGAAGACTTTCCACATCAAGCAGATGTTCACCTACACATCTGCTAATGTGGTATACTGCATCCGCTGTACCCGTTGTGGCCTCCTCTACATCGGGGAAACCAAGCGGAGGCTTGGGAACCGCTTTGCAGAACACCTATGCTCGGTTCGCACTAAACAACTGCGCCTCCCAGTCGCGAACCATTTCAACTCCCCCTCCCATTCCTCAGACGACATGTCCATCCTGGGCCTCCTGCAGTGCCACAACGATGCCACCCAATAGCACCCGATGCAGGAACAGCAACTCATATTCCGCTTGGGAACGCTGCAGCCCAATGGTATCAATGTGGATTTCACAAGCTTCAAAATCTCCCCTCCCCCAACCGCATCCCAAAACCAGTCCAGCTCGTCCCCGCCTCAATAACCCGTTCTTCCTCCCACCTATCCCCTCCTCCAACATCAAGCCCCACCCCCATCTCCTACCTACTAGCCTCATCCCACCCCCTTGACCCGTCCGTCCTCCCTACCTCCCCACTTACACTCACCTTTACTGGCTCCATCCCCGCCTCTTTGACTGTCTGTTTCCCCTCCACCTATCTTCTCCTCTATCCATCTTCTATCCACCTCCCCTCCTCTCCCTATTTATTTCAGAACCCTCTTCCCCTCCCCCATTTCTGATGAAGGGTCTAGGCCCGAAACGTCAGCCTTCCTGCTCAGCCTGCTGTGTTCATCCAGCTCTACACCTTGTTAACTTAGTGTTACCAGCCTGTTTCTGCCCCCATCCCCCCACCAAGGTTTCAATTTAAGGTTGAAGAATTTCAGTGATCAGGTAGGATCACACCCAGTCTTCTCATCACAGACCGTATTCTCTCTGGATTTACAATAGTAACAATGCCACAGGAAAGAAAAAAGGAGTAAATTTTTAGAAGTTTTGATAATCTGCTGTTGAATAGATTATCTAGGCATTATGTGAAGAGATGTTAATTAAATGTAAATAGTTCTTTCTCAAACTCGATACACAACCACCACACGAGGCAGACATGCAACATCAGCAAGACAAGATCTACACAAAACACCTCAGGGTGCGTTCCACAGTCAAGGGGAAACCATGAAAGTGTCAAACATTGCTCATTATCCTTTATCAAATCCAATTAGACAATGCCTACAGTGGGTTGGTACAAACTTCACATATTCTGCTTTATTGAAACTGTTATTATGTCAGGTTAACTTTGATACAGTCAGCAGTCTCCAAAAAGACATGAACAATGAACAATTGCATCTGCACTTGTTTCTCTTACCGTACAGGGCCGCTGATCCCAGCTCCCAGCTTCTGAGTCCAGTTAATTGCGTACTCATCTAATATAGAGGATTCCTGTTAAGGGAGAATAATAGCATCAACAGAGGATTTGTCCCTAGTCACAAAAATTGGAAAGATTTTCCTAGATCAGCTTTGGTCTATAAAATACTTTGCACATGAATCAGTATTTTAAATGACCAAGTGCCGCAGTATGCAGGTCACAATATACTATATATGAGCATAAGGTATGGGAGCAGAATTAGGCCCTTTGGCCCATCAAGTCTGCTCCACCATTCAAAGTTTGCAACCCATTCACCTACCTTTTCCCAGTAACCCTTGGCCCTGTTACTAATCAAGAATCTACGTCTGCCTTAAATACACTCGGTGACTCGGCCTCCACAGCCTTCTGTGATGATGAGTTTCCTCTGGCTGAAGAAATTCATCCTCATCTCAATTCTGAAGGGTCGTCCCTTCACTCTGAGACAGTGCCCTCAGGTCCTAGTCTCTCTCTCTAGTGAAAACATCATTTCTACATCCATTCTATCTAGGCCTCTCAGGATTCTTTGCGTTTCAATAAGATCTCTCCGCCACCCCATCCTCCTAAACTCCACCAAGTACAGACCCAGAGTTCTGACCAACTCCCCATTTGGCAATATAATTGATCAACTCTGGCGCCACTTATGGTGGAAAAAAAATTGATCTGCAATGGTCTATCCCATTTTCTAAATCTTTATCCGATTAGATTGTCTACTTTATCCATGCCTCTTACTTCCTTTCTATGTCCATTACACACTACAGGCAATATCAATATCCTGCACAGCTTTTATCCCAGTTTTTATTTTAACATTTAAGTGCTTCTCCATCAGCATCCTTTACAGTTTGACTGCCATCAATATTTCTTCACCGATTTCATCTTGTAGAATCACTGGGGAAGTTAAAAACGAATAAATTGGCATGCAACACAGATACCTCATATATATGCAGAGAAGTTTTCAAAAATGTTCTCCAACTTGGAGCATTGAGAGAAAAGGTCGAGCCAAGAGAGAGACATGGTGGAGGGACAGGCAGCACAAACACAACAAACTGGTGCTGAATTTGTACTATGGGAGGAAGGGTATTGTACATTAAAGAATCTGGACCCAGGAGTAGTCAAGCGCTCTTTGGCATGGGAATATACAGTTTGGAAACATCTGGCACAACTGCAGTCTGAGATCTGAGTTACATCAGGTTAGAATTAACAGTGGATGACAACAGCCTAAGTCCATGGGGTGGTCAAGAAGCCTGGGAACATCTGAAGGATTAGGAGCAGTAAAGTAGGAGTCTGGAAACTGTACACATTCAAAAATGGAACAGCTCAAAGAACGGCGATAAAGGTTTGTCAGCAGTTGTAAAAAGAATGATTTACTTTAGAGAAGGAATAGGATCAGAACTGAAGGGGTATAATTACATGCATAACAGTGTTTCAGCTGGGACCACTTCAGACAGAAATCAAGGTGGCTAGAATCAACACAGGTTATATATCTGGATCCCAAGAATAAAAATCAAACAATTTTTTTTTAAAAAACTTATTTCTTCAACCACATTAATCTCTTTTCTTTTCCTTCTCTAGTTATATCATTTCTACCTCTCTCTCCTACTTGATGTCTCAATTCCTAGTTTTTAAAAAAGTTGAAGCTCTTGGTTAATTTCATTCTCCTATCATTTCCCATCATTCTCATTCAGTGTCTTCTGTTCCCTTTCATCTCTCAATCTCATTTGCTACTTAGAAGACATGGAAGGACTCAAATTGAAAAGCAAGTAAGGAGGAAGCAGCAAGGCACATAGGACCAAAACCACTTGTGGGAACAGTCAAATGCACTTTGGACAGCAGGTTAGGAAACAGGACAGACGACAACTACAAATCCCCGTGTTTACAGACATATTTCCAAACAATCTAAGTGACTGCATTGTTGGCAAATAGCCAGAGGAGCTTGGAAACATTTGCTTCATCCAACCTAGATACTTTTGCAGCCTGGACCACTGACTTGAGTAGTTCTTGATATACAATTTCACCACAAATCCTACAGTTTTAATCCCGTCATATCAGGATTGCATTGTTCTGTAAATTATTTAGAGAAATGAAATAAAATACAAATGTGCACAAATGCTGATCAATCTCAGTACAATGCAGAGAGCTCAGGACTTCCCAATGTTAAAATCTGAATTATGCAAATTGTTATGAAATTGTGAAATTGTTTCTGATAAAATTTTAAGAACCAAGTTACATGACCATATTGTTCCTTTATATGTAGTTACAAAGTTTCCCTCAACTTTATATAACAATTCAAGGTATACATCATTTTGATAGTTTTCCAAAAGAAGTTCATCATGTTAGACTTTCCCAACCATTGAAAGGCAAATGAGGAAACACAGCTCAAAAAGAAGTCGTACAAAAGATAAACAATTTTATTCACAGAGGAGTAATCTCACGTGGAAGAGATTCTTTGCTTTAATGAAGATGAAGGCCAAATGGCTTGCTTCTGAGCCATTGAAAAGATACCGATAGAAGCAAAGGGAGAAGGTATAGTCTTCTCCAACAGGGGTCCAAGACTGGGACAGTGGCAGGAAAGTAAAGTTGAAGTGTACCCAATAGTAAAACAGGTCAAAATGCACTACTAGATTAAAAAACACAGCAGTGATAGAGTCACACAGCACGGAGAAAGACCCTCTAGTCCAACTAGTCCATGCTGACCACATTCCTGAACTAAAGTAGTTCCACCTGCTTGTATTTGGTCCATATCTCTCTAAACCTTTCCATTTCATGTACTTAACAAACGTCTTTTAAAGTTTGTAACTGCACCTGCATCCACCACTTCCTCTGGCAGTTCATTCCACACACTAATCACCCGCTGTGTGAAAAAGTTGCCTCTCATGTTCTTTTTAAAAATTCACTTTAAAAATATGCTCCCTTGTTTTGAACTCCCCCACATTAGGGATAAGACCTTTGCTATTCACCTTATCTTTGTCCCTCATGATTTTATAAACTTCTATAGATCACCCTTCAACCTTCTTTGTTCCAGCAAAAATATGTCCAAGCCTCTTCAGCCTATTTATATAAATCAAACCTCTGGTCCTGGCAACATCCTGGTAAATCTCTTCTTAACACTCTCCAGCTTAATAATATCCTTCCTACACAGGGCAACCAGAAATGCACTCTGTACTCCAGGAGAGGCCTCACCAACGTCCTGTACAACCTCAACATGACAGCCCAATTCTATTCTCAAAGGTCTGAGCAATGAAGGCTAAATGCCTTCTTAACCACTGTCTGCCTGTGGTGTAAATTTAAAAGAATTATATACCTGAACCCCTAGGTCTCTGTCCTACAGGTCTACTTAGGGCTCTATCATTTGGTGTACAAGTCCTTCCCTTGGCAATCTCATACCCGTCTTTGCCTTCCTGATTTCCTTCTTAAGAATGCCCTTACATTCTTTAAGACTGTTATTTGATCCCAACTGTCTTTATCTAATATGATTCTTTTGTATTCTTGACGAGAACCTCAATATCTTCATTCATCCTTTGTGCCCTAATCTTACCAGCCTTACTTTTAAAGTTCTTGTCTCATACCATTAAAATTTGCTTTACTCCAATTAAAAACTTTATGGAAGGCTTATGCTTTTCCATAACTTTCTTAAAACTAACAGAATTATGATCACTAATCCCAAAGGGTTCCCCTACCAACACTTCACTCACTTGCCCTACCTTATTTCCCAAGAGAAGGTCAAGTTTTGCTCCTTCTCTAGCAGTAACATTTACATATTGGTAAAGAAAATTTTCTTGAACACATTTAACAAATTCCTCACCACCCAAACCTTTAACACTAATGGCAGCCCAAGTCAGTCTTGGGAAATTTAAATCTCCTACTACAACCCTATTATTCTTACATATATCTGGAGATCTCTTGACATATTTGCTTCTCAATTTCCCTCTGACTATTGGAGGGGCAATGGTACAATCCCAACAGGTGATCATCTTTTTCCTTTTTCTCATATTAACCCATGTATTTTCACTGGACAATCCCTCAGAAATATCCTATTTACAGTAGTAATGTTTTCCCTAGTCAAAAACACCACTCTCCCTCCTCTCTTGCCTCCCTTTCTATCTTTCCTATAGCATCTAATACCCAGAATATTGAGCTGCCAGTCCTGTCTTTTCCTCAGCCAAGTTCCTGTAACAGCTATGACATCCCAGTCCCATATTCCTATACATGCTCTGAGTTCATCAGCCTTACTTGAGAGACCCCTTGCATTGAAGTAAATGCAGTTTATTCTTCAGACTTGCTTTTTTCTGATCCAGAATCATTCTCAACTGTCTTTCTATTTTCACTACTACTTAGGAAATTCCTCCCCCCCCCAACCCCCCACCAATTGTTTACAGGCTCGTGAAATAGAACTAGCAAATCTTCCTGCCAGGATATTGATCCCTTTCCAGTTCAGGTGAAAGCCATCCCTTTTGAACTTGTCTTCAATAAATGTCTTCGAGAGATGGCTAGATAGTGTCTTTTTTGGAGATGGTCCTGGCTTGGTATCTTCAGAGCACAATCTTACCAACCACTTATCAGCCCAAACCTTGGTGCTGACTATACTTTTTTAAATAACTGAAGGCATTAAGAGTACCTACCTATTAAATATAGTACGTATACCAGCCCTCCATCACATCAAATTCATTCTTCAGCCACAAGATTGATAACCATATCTGCCCACTAAAGTAAAGTTAATTGAAATGCTGAAAATTTTCAGTTAAGAAACAGAACTGAAGAAGAGGTGATTCTCAACGAAATATTGAATTAGAGATAGTAGGGACTGCAGATGCTGGAGAATCCGAGACAACAAGGTGCAGAGCTGGATGAACACAGCAGGCCAAGCAGCATCATAGGAGCAGAAAGGCTGACGTTTCGGGCCGAGACCCTTCATCAGAAAAGGGGGAGGGGAAGGGGATTCTGAAATAAATAGGGAGAGAGTGGGAGGCAGATAGAAGATGGATAGAGGAGAGGATAGGTGGAGAGGAAACAAACAGGTTGAAGAGGTGGGGACGGAGCC